AAAGAACCAACAAATTAAATTTGTGTGTCCTAAAAGAGACAGTCACTCTTGTGGGATTTCTTCTAAGATCGTACATCCCCCCCCCCCCACTAAAGATCCCAAAAGCAGTCTTTAAACAGTAACGATGAAAATGTAAACAACAATATGACCATCAATTTGAAAAGTAGAAGTCATTAAGAAACAATGGCTTAATCTCTCATCCAAAATTCATACGATGAACAATCACTAAGTAGTAATAGACCTTCATTGAAGATTTACTGTCCTCCGTACACCTGGCAATGGAGAATGGAGGGCGGGTTGCTAGTCGTATATCTGTCAGACTCACTGTCATACACATTGTCTCATACAATGGAGAGGATTCTACACAGAACAACTGTCATTGCTTAGCTGTGCACTTGGGCATTTTTAGTCTTTAACATATGGGTAGGAGTTTAGAGAAAGTGCAGACATATGACCGCACAAGTTTAACCTTTTGTTTCTCTGACATACATGATTGTAGTTATCAAAAAGGCAAGTCAGACTGACTGTCACAAACATTGTTTCATACAATGGAGACTCAGAGGATTCTATACAGAACAACTTACTGTCATTGCTAAGTTGTACACTTGGGCGTTTTTAGTCTTTGACATATGGGTAGGAGTTTAAAGAAAGTGCAGATATGGCTGCACAAGTTTAAATTCTTGGCTCTCTGAAATTTTAATCAATAAAAAAAGTTATAAAAAAGACATCAAGAATGATGATTCCTTCTTTTTAAGATAATTGAAGACAACTCACTGTACATGCATGTGTATATACTACATGAGTCTGACTATACGTACATGTACATGACTTGTTTTATTTATAATTCACTCTCTGAAACAGTATGCACTTAGTCTACGTCATACAAAATCAACTTTTAGTAACTGTTACAAATGCAATGAATTCCACAAGTTTTTTTCTTTTCCTTCCAAAGTTATGGTTATCACAAAGTCCGGGCCCCCATCAGCCGTGGAAGTGTTGTAGGTTAATGTTATTTCCCTGAATTACGACAAACCAACCCCCTTTCTACATCCGGCTGCACCCTCAAAACCCTTCCTTCAGCGGATGTGACTTAAAGACACCGTAAATTCTCAACGAAACACAACACAGGTAAAGCCAGTTGTGTAACAGGCTGAAGAAAAGCTCTAAACGGGAACTATGCGGCCCCAGATGTCTTACTGAGGGATGACTGCGTGTGCAAGATGTCAGTTAGCTCGGGGAATGAATCCCTTCTACATGTACTGTAACAATATAAAACACAACATAACAGACAGGAGTAAAAAGTCTTGGTCCTCAGGAATTCTGATCCTGGTTAAGATATGAACCTGTCTGCTGCTATCATGTCAGCTGTCTTTTTGACTTATCTTGGAAAGATTTAGCACCTTTGATGTCTATGAATTTCTCACACCCCTTTCAACTAGGGGCTAGGAAAGCTGAGCAACCAAAATTTGGTGAAGATGGAAGAACAGATTTTCTGGATGAAGAATATTAATTTTCTAAGTTTTGTGTGTTATTATTTTTTTACCACCTTTCGATGTCTATGAATTCCTCACAGCCCTTTCGACTAGAAGCTGCCACCAAAATTTGGCAGTTTGCTTACGATGGAAAAACAGATTTCAGAGAGTCTAAGTTTTCTGTGCTTTAATTTGATTCAGCATCTTTTGATGTCAAGACAAGTATATATACAATTCAATTGTTTAATACAGGATGGTCAAACCGCATAAGAAAGATAAATTTTTCAATATCAGTCAAGTATTGGAAGTATGGGAACATACTTGTTATATGATTTTCTATCATTACTATTAAACTACAATCAACGACAAGTGGACTAAGTCTTCATCTTCTTTGTTTGAGCTATATTCCAGAACAAAAGAATTTCTAATCACCCGATTCTCTCCACAACAAGGCGAGATGATTAAACTGCGAACGATGACACAACGTCTGATTTCTGTCGCTCCAATTTTACCCAAACAGCAACAACACAGACCCCAGTAACCGCGGAGTGACAGGCCTCCTGCGCTGTGTTATTTCTGTAACCGATCGACCTTTTGTTTCCAAGCGCGCGTCGACAACCCGCTCTCAAACTTCAATCGCTTTTCAACCGAATTAATTGGCGGGCTCGTTTCTCTGATGTGGGCGGTGAAATTAAACAAATGGCCCCCTTTGTCACGAGCACGTCAAATAAACGTTCCTGGGAACGACAGCTTCGGCCTCGAGGGCTGATCGAGCATTGTGGTGACAAAGTCCAGACCAAAGTCTTCGACTGGTGTCAATCATGTACATTTGTAGTGTAACATGTGGGTTACTGGTGCGTGTGGTGTTGCACAAGTGCCACCTAGTGAGGTGTATCGGTACTGCAGGGTAGTTTTGGATACTAGACAACATTTCGTCACAATTTTGCTTCCTAATAGAATAACTTTGGTAGCATGCAGTTTCAAGAAGACAGATTCAAGCTTTCCTCCCAGCCCCCTGTTTTCATCTTGCAAGATAAAACAGTTCTCTTACTGAATTTTGCTAAGAAATTCTGAGAACTGAACTGCTTGGAGCTAAATCAATCAATCAAAAATGGTTTATTGCTTAAATTATGAACATTGCAGCAGAAAGCTGAATTGCATTCACAGGTTCACATTCATTTTTAAAAACGTTAACAACTACATTGTACACAGTAGAGTTACATGTAAAAATATTTACACAGTATTACATACATTTAGCGCATGTATGTATGTTTAAATTGGCAAGGAATGAGGTGAAATCTCAAAAATGTGCTCCTCTCTGTCATCAATGGTGTCTTATCACCTGAGCTGAGATACCTGTCCAAACCAGGTGTGACTGAGGTGTGCTAGGGCCACACCAATTCAATTTGTTGGTTCTCGGATTGTTTCATAAAAAATATGAAAGGACAGGGCGAGAAAAAAATAATCCTAGGCATCCTTACATAGCCACAAATGTTACAATAGGAGCCATGAAGTCAACACAAAAGGCTGGGTTAATATTTACTGTTACAATGAATTTTGAGCTTTTAATCAAACCACTATATTGAAAGATGGAACAACTGTAGCAAGTAGGAAGAAAAGAACTTTCCTCAACTGTCGGGGGCAAAATATAAGCATTTTTTTACTTGATTCCGAACCAAAATCTTTTTTTTTTTTTGCAAATCAGAAAAAATGAAGAGGCAAATCTGAGAACCAAGAAATTAAATTGATGTGGCCTTCGGGTGCGACCAGTTTGCTGGAATGTGGACCACATAACAACAAACACACCAACCACTGGACACAACTATGTCTGGACTCCCAGATCACAATAGGGGAGGGAACCTTCCCACTTCCGGGCTTCGAACCCACAACCAACAAACATACCGACTAATTAACATTCAAAGAGCCCACCGCACCTATTTTTTTTTAACGAAGTGGTTCGATGAAAGGCCTATAAACTTCTCGGCACCGAACGAGAAAGATGAGAGAAACATGACTATGTCAAGAGATGGCGGTAAACGTTTGATTTGAAAGCCTGTAGATTGTGTCATGTAGGTTGGTGGGAAACACTTGTCAGAAAATTGAAAAGAGTTGAAAAGAGTAGGGGACCTTCCCGGTATGCATGGTTCAAACCTTACAGTCCGGTTTTACGCAGCTTGTACTTGCATGTACAAAACTGGTGTGCATGTATAAAAGCTGTTTACCGGTTATGCGACACAAACAAAACAAAACAAACATATACCGACCAATTAAAATGGCAAAACCTTTCAGGGTCTGAAAATGATTCCGTTTTTCTTGACTGATTGAAAAATGACTTCTGTTATTCTTGTCAAATCAAGCAAAAAAGCCATATTGCACACACAGTCTATTGACTATAATTGAGGAAGACTAGTCACTGGTTGAAAGCTCTAGGTGAGAGAACGTCTTTGTGTTGGATCAAAAGTTTTAACTTTAAACTCACAGAGTGTAACATAAGAAACATGCTGGCCTCTCTTCTGATCTTTCAAACATTGAAAAGGTCTCCACATCACCCGTGTGTTACATGTATGCGGGTAACATTTGCAACAATTTGTCGCCAACATTCCTGCCACAATTGTGGCGAGTCGAGAATACTAAAACTGCCACCTCCGCGACCCCAACTCTTCAGCGAGCGCTACACAAGAGCTGAACATTCTTCTGAGTCCATCAAAATTCCTGGCAACTTGAAGCCCAGCTGGGTTCAACAACGATCATGTAACACGGATGGGAAAATCTGAAGTTCAGGAGGTGACGAAACACTGAAAATCTTGGAATAACTGCGCTGGTTTTATTTTCCCAGTTTTGCAGTGCCACTCAACCGTGAAATCATGACACCACAAATGAGTACAATGTTGAACTTTATTCCAACACACAAGGATAAAATTTTCAGCAACCACTGTCGCCATTGTGGAAAATTTGATCCTTGTGTAGTGTAATATGTACCATTGTGTTGAATAAAATAAAGTTCAGCATTGTACGACTCTATGTGATATATACCAACACAGATGAACTTCCATAACCACAAATACTATACAATGTGTTCTGTGCATCAGCACTGTCTTGAAAAAGGTGTCTTAACTCAGTTGTATTCTAAATTAACGTAACCAAGAAACTTGGTGCATCAACTACATGTAACTCTTACACTGGGTAGGTTTAAGCAATATTTAATACCTTATTTTAATGGTACTGCTCAGTGCAAAGCAAAGTGAACACTTTTGAACACTGAGCTAGATGGTACAACAGGGATGGTTGTGAATGTTAGTTTTGAAACCCTGAGGATTGTATTCAGAAGGAAAAATAATATGCAAAACATAACATACATTGACAACAATGGCAAAATAATGTAACACACAACTTATTGGTATGGCGGCTTTGAAAAGGTGTTTCATGTCAGAAACACCTGTTTCGCCATGCCATCCACAGTGCATCTTGTACGTGGTAAAACTTAATAAATAAATAAATAAATAAAACTTAGGGTTAAAGGTCACTTACCGTCGTCGCTGAAAGCGTTGTTGTACACCCCTCCTGAGTCGCTCTGACCCCTGACCCTTGACCCTGCGGTGTCCCCGTCGCCCTGGTAACCACGGTTGTCGACGCCCGCTGCGCCCAGGCTGCCGCGGACGGACGTTCGCTTGAACCTCTCCAGGAAGTCCAGCGAGTAGCGGAAGGTCGGGCGGTTCGACGCGTTCTTACTCCAACACCGCAGCATCAACTGGTGGCTGGATGGAACACACAAGCAAACAAATTTATTCATTTATTCATTCATAGATGGCAGACTTCACCCCTTTCTTAGCCATACTATTCATTCTTTGGATGGGTTTTAACACTGGAGCATCAACTGGTGGCTGGAACAAACAAACAGATTCATGTGTTCGTTCTTTGGATGTGTTTTTACTCCAGCACTGGAGCATCAACTGGTGACTGGAACAAACAAATTCATTCATTCGTTCGTTCATTCATTTGTTCATTCATTCATTCGTTCGTTTGTTTGTTCGTTCATTCATTCATTCTTTGGATGGGTTTTTACTCCAACACCGCAGCATCAACTGGTGACTGCAACACACAAACAAAATTTTGTTCGCTCATTCGTTCTTTGGACGGGTTCTTTCTCCAACAGCGTAGCATCAACTGGTAGCTGGAACAGACAAATTCGTTCACTCGTTTGTTCGTTCATTTGTTTGTTCATTCATTCATTCATTCTTTGGATGGGTTTTTACTCCAACAGCGCAGCATCAACAGTTACTAGTGGCTGGAACAGACAAATTCGTTCATTTATTCATTCATTCATTAATTTTGTTCTTTGGATGGGTTTTTACTCCAACACCGGAGCATCAACTGGTGGCTGGAACAAACAAAGAAACAAAACAAATTTGTTCATTCATTCATTCAGTCACCATGAAACATGGCAATTAGAGATGGCAGACTTCACCCCCTTTGCCATACTCTTGGCAATCACTCGTGATCTTTATTTGTAATCAGATACAGAGTCATGTACAGATACATAGTCATGCACAGATACAGATTCATGTACAGATATACAGACTTTCCGAGTATGATGACCGTGTCAGCCCCTGCACCTGAGTGAGGGTCACAGTTGACACGGTAGCCTTCGCATGAATTTGTTTAAGGTGGATAACAGGTTGCGAATCTGAGACCCACACACTTGGGCATCCGTCTTCCCCAGCGGATCCATCGAGGGAGACGTGCTGGTTCCGGTTCGGGTGCTTGCAGCGAGCTGCCGGATGACTTGGTTACGCTCAAGTTCCGCCTTGATCACGCCAGCCCGCCTGGCGCTGCTCTCGTCCGCCAGCTGAAGACAACTGCCGTTGGAGACTTGACCCTCTAATTGAGGGGGGATACGTGTAAAGTGCCTTTCCCAAGGGCACAACGTCGGTGCGCATGTTCGGACATGCCCCCGTGCTCCGACCCAGGTTCGAACCCGGGGCTCCTTGTTGAGCGCCGAACGCTCTATCCACTACGCCACACGACGCCACACTAGATTGCCATACTAGATTGTACTTATTCTTTGGGTTGGTTTTTAATGCAACATAGTCACATGTCCACAGCACTTGGGTCATTAAGCTGATGAAGACTGAGCGATTCAGTCGAAAATTTCTGGTTTGTTTTTGAGTTTGAGAACAGTTTAATTTTCTTCATCGTCTTGTATCTTGTTTTCTGCTACCCCCAAGTTCATGTCAGTTACCATTAATTTACTAGAAGTTCAGAATCAAGGATTCTGCTACTGCACATTGAAACCTATACAACCCCTGATTTCTTGGAACATTGAGGGACGAGTGTGTAAAAGATTATCATGTTTAACGTTTTACTATGAGTGTGTAAAAGCTTTCTTCCCAAATGGACCGCTGTAGCGGCAAAATGCACCAGACACACGATATATCACATTTCCTCCCCTCTCGCACTTCCAATGCCAAAGTCCCCGAAGCATTAGACCAAAGTTGGGGATAAAATTTCTCATTTCGCATTAACGGCTTTTAATAATCATACTCGCCATGTACAAGGTACTCATTAAAAGGCTTTTAAGCCATGTACTTGGGATCAATTTCATCGCACGTTTGGCAACGGTAACTTTATCGTAGTCGTGAACTTGTAATGATGGTAGGCCAAAGTCGCAGCGCATAAGACCAAAGTCGGGGATAAAATTTCTCCTTTCGCATTAACGGCTTTTAATAAAAAGCACCCAGGTGTTACCCTTTGTAGCAGTTCAGTCGTTAAAAGGCTTTTAAGCCGTGTACTTGGGATTAATTTTCATTGCACGTTTGGCATCGGTAACTTTATCGCAGCTTTGAACTTGTAATGATGGTATGCTGATGGTGAGAGAGTGCAGGAGAGGCACCTAGCAGATTGAAAACAAACTGCATGTTACATCACAACCCAACCCACAGGTCAAGTTTGTACTTTGTAAATTATAACACAATGACTGGTTCTGATTCCTACGGCACCTAGCCTCAGTAGGAATTACAATGTAGAACTTACTGTTGCCCTGAAGTACATATGTAGGTGATAGACGGTAACCCATACGTTAGATGTGACAACCCATTTGGTACTTGAATAAAGAACCTTGTTTCATGTAGGAACATGGCGAACAAAACGATACAGTCGACAAGTACTAGTACAAGTAGTTATTTTCATTAATCATAGTACAGAAAGAAAGATGACAGGCCAAGAAGACAGAGTGTTAGCTGGTTTGCTTTGTTGCCTATAAGGAAGAATGTGCCCTACTAATAAAATAGCATTATCAGCACTAAGGACAGCACCTGTAACACTAATCACACTCGCCATGTCATCATCATCATCATTCATCCTCCAAAGAGATGGAGCAGACAAAGTTTGATCTCCAGAACTGCTTGTCGTTCATTGCTGAAATACGTTCCTGCCCTCTAAGCCTGTTTCAGTTTCTTAAGTGTAATGATGTTTGGACGTCCAATCCTTCTCTTCGTGTCAGGGTTCAAAAGTAGAAGCCTACTGGCCTTTTTTTTGCTACGTTCAACATAACCGGCCAGGCTTAGTTGTCAACATTTAGCTACTGTTACAGTAGTGACAATGGTAACCGTCTGTATAACTGTTTGTTAATGTACAAATATTAAGGTACTCACATGTCATCTGGGCAGTTGTAGGGTTTGTCGAGCCGGCCGCCGCTGCGTACAAAGTGCATGACCTCCAGGTTGGTCCTGGCGGGGTATGGCTGGTTTCCCATGGTCATGATCTCCCATAGCAGGACACCAAACGACCTGCATGGAGACAGTAAGAAAATCTTTAAGTTACTAAACCTAGCCCTATGTAGCCCTAACCCTAACTCTAACCCTAGCCCTAGGCCTAACCCTAGCCCTAAACCCTAACTCTATCCCTAGCCCTAACCCTAACCTTAATGCTAGCCCTAACCCTAACCCTAGCGCTAGCCCTAACCCTAACCTTAACCCTAACCCTAACCCTAGCCCTAGCCCTAGCCCTACCTCTAGCACCAACCCTAACTCTAACCCTAGCCCTAACCCTAGCCCTAACATGAACTCTAGCCTTGTATGGCGGGTCATTCTAATGGCCAAGTGTGAGTGGATCACACCATACAGTCTGGTCTTACGCAGCTTGTACCTACTACAAACAAAACTGGTGTACTATATACATGTATGCCTAATGGCTCTTTCCCGGTTATGCAAAACAAACAAACGAACGCAAACTAACCAGACATCAGACTGGCTGGTAAAGACTCCGTCCACGAGGCTCTCGGGTGACATCCAGCGAACGGGAAGCAGCCCCTCCCCCTCCTTACGATAGTAGTCGTTCCGGTAGATGTCTCTCGCCAGACCGAAGTCTCCAATCTTCACCGTACGCTTGTTGTTCTGCGTGTCCACCAGGCAGTTACGGGCGGCCAGATCTCTGTAGAATATGAATTGGGTCAGTGAATGTGGATTATGAATTATTGGGTCGGTGAATGAGGAGACTTTTTTACACAACCAAAAAGTTTATTCAGCCGACGTTTCGGTGACCGTCTGTCACCTTCCTCAGGGCAGTTCTGACTGGTTCACATTGTGCAGCACAGGTGTCGCTGTAATAGATGCATTCCCAGACACAAAATATTTATATATCTACACAGTTACTGGGAACTGTATCTACATGTACAATGTTATACAAATGTACAGCGGTGTGCTATATAGATAATGTAAAATTTTGTAGACTGAGATGCTCTCATAGTAAGAAATATTAGCTGATTTTGGGTTGACAACACTGGCACTGGTTTCATACTCTTCCCTTTGTTGTTGTATGACAATAAGGAATGGCCCCAAATGCACCCATTACCACTTAAGGTTTACAGAGCAACATCAAAGTGTCTCACCTGTGTACGAAGTGCATCTCCTCCAAGTACTTGCAGCCTCGTGTCACATCCAGACAGATGTCAATCAAATCCATCAGGTCCAGCTGGGACGGCCGCAGCTGAGGAAAACATCGGAGTAACAACGTCAAATCTGGGGCCTCGAAACTACAAAATCTACTGCAGGTCAGATACATGGAGATTAAACATGCGCTTTTTAATGTCAAGGCTGCAGGGCTGCGGCCGTCACCTCACGTACATGGGGTCAAACGAAAAACATAAGGCAAACAAAGCCGTAAACTCGACTGAAATGTCAGATGAGACACGTTCTGCCTCAGGTGATACAGGTAGAGCGACCTCACGTGGGAGCACCATGTGCCCTCTATCTATTCTAAACTTAGAGAATTGGAGCTTCAATTTTTCATATCTCCTGCAAAATATTGTCAAACCATGCCAACCGACCATGTTATAAACTGACCTGAGGACAGAAATGTACTTCAGAAGACACAGTTTGGCCTCAGGTAGGCCGCCATTGCCTCCTGTCGGGTCAAACGAAAAACTTGACTGACGACATAAAAGGTGCCTGGGGGCATGCTCTTCAACCAGGTAGGTTGGCACTTGAACAGTTTGTCTGCTGAGAGGAGGTCTTGTGCGATAGTCCTTAAAGATTTTCCACAAGGTTTCTCGAAGATGTCGACCCAAAAGGTGTTCCCAAATGGCGAGGCAGTTCCGGAAGGTTCTGTAGGTCGCCATGGAAACCGGCATACCTTAGGAATCGTCCTGGCGCTGTCAGGACTCGCGGCCGTGGTGAGTGTCGTAGCCCTGCTGTTCATGGTGCAAGAGATGGCCTCCATGCGAGAAGAACTACAAAGCCTGAAGAATCAGGTGCTTCTGATGCAGTTCAAGCAAGAGAAGGAGGCTATGGACAAAGTAAGGATGATTTTGTTGCTTTAGATCAGGCTTGTACATGTACTTTTAGAGGAGGTTGGATGATTTTGTCCCTTTCCGTCTTGATTTGAAAACTGTTAACTGACTCAGCATTCACCACGTTCTCTTGTTGTCTGCTGGTTTCTAGTCTCGAAGAAGCTTTCCGGATTGACCCTTTCCTTATGTATGATGACAGCTAGTTTAGATCCATGGGTGGGGTTACTGATCACAGATACTGTGAATCTTAAAATGATCGTGGTGGTTTTATTTTCGTGGTAATATCCTTGCCTAACGCCAAAATTTATCCCCAGCGAACATAAATGAACTTACAGTATTTAATGCACTACATGAAATAATGAATTTCCGGGTATTTTCGTCCCAGTGCACACGTCCCTGAAATCTGACATGTGCAGGGATTTCCAGGCCCCGTGTGTGTGGGCCGGGACATGCACAGAAATCTCTGCACACGTGCCAACTACATGTATGTAGCCTCCTTCGCAGAATTTTAGGGTGCGACGTTATTTTTTTTTTGTGAGCGATGCGACCAAGTGTGGCAGAAATGTGCAATAAAGGTCTTCATTCATTCGTTAACGTGAAGATCGAAGCTTGGTCATAATATGGTCTTGCACTAACTTTATACATACTTGAATCAAGTTCCTTAAGTTTGTACAACGTAGGTGGACCCTCAGACGAAGCTTTCTGCATTTTTGTTCTTAACTGACTAGTTGTATTTACTGTACAGTTACAGTAACAGAAAGATAATTATCTTGAATGTTAACAGTCCGCTGCACCACTCCGCCCTCAGGGCCAGACTGGATACGTGCGCTCAACTGAAGACCAGTGGCCTGATAACAGTGCCACCTTTCAGCAAAATGCGGAGGTGCACCGCAGATCCAAGAGGGAAACTGTTGAATCTGGTAAAAAGTTTGTTTGTAGGTCTGTCTGTTGGTTTTGTTGTGTGTGTGTGTATTACATGTACATGTAATTTTGTGTGCATACACTATGCATCCAAAATCACAACAATCCATCAACCAGTTATCCTAATTCCAAAAAAAATCCCCTTGCAGATCAAGCTGCTAGAGTGTGACTTCACGTCAATCACGAGATATCACACACAATACACACTGACACACACAGACACACACACACTCATACACACAACACATACACACACACTCACACAAACACACACACTCGGACTCACACACACACATACACACACACACACACACACACACACATATTACCTTCCCAAAAACATATTAACCTTTGTCGCAAAGGTAATTAATGAATGTCTGCCAAACCAACAGGATGTCTGTCTGGGAGGGATGGGAGAGATGGTCTGCAGGGAATACAGGGCCCAGTCGGAATGCAAGGTCCAGCCGGAATACAAGGACCTGCCGGAATACAGGGGAGGGATGGAAGAGACGGTCTACAGGGCCCAGCCGGACCTCCTGGACCCCCCGGTCAGGTAAAGTTACAATCAGCAGGGTGGTAAAGTTTTACATGTACCTGTCCTGATGTGAACAACTCTTTAACTGATGCCTTACAACTTTTTTCTAACATAATATTTGCCGCCTTTCTTTACAGTGTTGGTGTCCAACAGGTGCATCCTCACCCAATCCCCCACAGGCCACAACTCCTGCAGTCACGACTCCTGAACCTGCAGCCAAACCTCCTGAAGCTACAACTATTCCAACTCCTGAAGCCAACCCTCAAGAAGCCAACCCTCAAGAAGCAAACCCTCAAGAGGCCAACCCTCAAGAAGCCAGCCCTCAAGAAGCCAACCCTCCTGAAGCCACAACTCCTCCAGACACAACTCCTCCAGACACAACTCCTCCAGACACAACTCCTCCAGACACAACTCCTCCAGACACAACTGTAGCCACAACTCCAGAAGCCACAATATGTACAGAAGATTTTTTTGAATATCAGCCTGTTTCACCATTTGCACCATATCCTGCAGGTCAGTTGGAATGTCTGAGTTTCTCATGGTTCTGGTGCTACATGTACGGGACTTACAGCGACACAGTCATAAAGTTTCTATCATGGTGACTACAAATTGTGACACATTCCATTTATAAATTCCATGCCAGCATATGGAATTGCACTTGTCCTGTGTTGTGTTGTATGTACCAGTGGCAGCCGCCACCAGCCTTCAGGCTGCCTGGCTCCCACTTGTAATGCGTTGTGGCATCACCAATAAATGAATATCAAATATAAATATGAGAAATGTGGACAGGTGGATTTGCTAGAATTGACTCCATGCCGTTACTGTTCACCAGAGGCAGACTGTGCTGCGTATAAAGCCGCCGGATACACAACCAGTGGAGTCTACACACTTGGCTCACCCCTGTTCGGTGTAGAGGTCTACTGTGACATGGATACAGCAGGTACATGTAGATATTGTCTCTAGGCACATAGGGGTCCATAACGTATACAGGTGTGCCTAAAATACACACCTGTTTAACCTTTAGCACATTGTTTGGCTACCAATTCTCTATTTGTTATGGGGTTAGGCAGCAGTTAGGCAAGTTGACCCAAACAGCATCACACAAGGCATGTTGTGCACACCACTTAGCAATAGACTGGTCCCACTCCCCTGCCCAAGGTGGCCAGAACTTGGGAAGCTAAAGCATAGAAAATTTGCCTCATGATCATTAGTCTCTTATTCGTAAAACCACTATTTTGATTGTCAACTCTTTCATACTTTTATTACAAGCCTACAAAAGAGTAATGAGTGTTTTCCCACAGGAGGAGGATGGACCGTCATCCAGTGGAGAATGGACGGGTTGGTTCCCTTCAACCGGACCTGGGAGGAGTACCAGTGTGGGTTTGGCAACATCGCCGGGGAATACTGGCTTGGGAATGAGAACATCCACCTCCTGACTGCTCAGAAGAACTATAACCTGCGAATCGACATGATGGACTGGAATGGAGCAATAGCCTACGCCAATTACAGCACATTTAGGTAGGTGGTCCTCCATCTAGTGATAATTCTAAGCAGACATCACAGTTTGCAGTACTGACTTGGGTAAATATGAGACGGAGATATGAGATCTCTGACCTCCTTTGTTTTACAAGCAGGTCAGAATTATGAATATTAAATAATGCAGTTTGTTGTCAATAACTAATACTATTGTGGTCTAATGTTCCCATCCAGGGTGTCCGGAGAGTCGGACCAGTACCGGCTGACCATATCCGGGTATTCAGGCGACGCAGGAGACGGCATGGCGCTCAACAACGGGATGATGTTCTCCACTGTGGACAGGGACAACGATGTTGACACCTTCGTCTCCTGTTCTCAAGAGGGCGGACAGGCCGGCTGGTGGTATAGGGACTGCACCTACTCCAACCTCAACGGCCGCTACCTGGGCAACTGTGTGAACACCTGTGCAGACATGGCAGGTGTGGTGTGGACCAACTGGAGAGGCCTGTATTACTCCCTGAAGTCTGTGTCTATGAAAATCAAGCCTTAGCCTTGACTATGGCATTATTTTGCACCCAGTTATCTACAATTTACAAAATTATCAATCCTACATAGTTTGAAATGTTGACAAGTAACACTATTGTTTCAATGTGTGTTACAAACTTACACCAGAATGAGTCAATTTAAAAGTATCAGTTAGGCAGACATATATGTTAACTTGGAGAAGTGCTCAGATATAATTGTTATGGAGCAAACTGTTAAATATCAGTGTTGGATACAAGTGACAGTACTTGTAGAATATCTAGCTACTGTATGATTTAAAACAAGTGCTTCTGCAAAAGCTGACCATTTTCGCCGCTTACAGGCTTACAGTTTTTACGAACATTTTCCCCATCCTATCATTTCAATTTACCTAAGTTATATAAATGGTTCTAGTTCTCATCAACATTGTATATAATGAGAGAACATGCACTTCTATATTTCAACTCTTTAAGTTTAAAACATTACAAAAATCAAGTATATAACAGTTTATAACCTGTTTTCTCTCTTTTAAGAGTCTTTTTAACAGAATAAAAAAATGAGACACAAAAGTACATTTTAACTTAAATTATAAGTAACGTTAATATATATATATATAATTTTATTCAAAATCTCTTCTATGGCTTTGTCCCCAACATCTAAGTTTACAAACCTCGTGACATTCAACCAGGGCTTTAGCCAGCGCCCGTTTTACCGTCAATTGACGGTATTTTTT